CTGGTGCTCCGGCCTGCTCTGGCGCCTGCTGCTGCTGCTGGCAAGCCGGGCTGACAGGCCAGCGTCGGAAGCATGCCAACGTGCGACGACAACCTGCCAGTCATGGAGCCGGCTGCGGAGGCCAAATAGGCGGCGGCAGTGGGGAGGCTAGGATTCTCGCCCCGCTAGGGAGCCACGTTCTTGGGCCTGCGCCCCCGTCGCCCCCTGGTGGGGGGGCGCGGGGACTCCTGGCCTCACTGGCTCACCGCGGGGCTCTTCTTGTCTTGCTGTTGTTGACTGGCGTCCTGCGTTCCCTGTACACCTGCAGCCGCACCCGCTTGACCACCTTGGACTCCCTGAAGTAGTACATACACATACTCATGCAAGACATAACATTAAAATCACATTATTTATATGACGCTCTCTGAATAGTATTCTAAAGTCAATACCTTTTCCTTAAACTTTATTTTTCTTTTAATCTTCTGTTGAGTCGAGCATCTTTAGTATTGGTTTTTCCGAGATATCAACCGAATAATGACATCAATCTCCAAATTCAGAACTCAAGTAAGTTTCAATATCTGATATCAGTTATTTTCATAAATTAGTTCAGCAATAAACTAATTCAGCAAAATTTTAGACTTGTTGCATATCTAGAGCTCTTCAAATAAATTATGCGCGTGTAGGTACATTTTTTAATCTAAAATTTTTGTTTTGCTGTAGAAAAATGGTTACCTGATTACCAGGACCTCCTTGTGGTGGACCAGGACCACGATCTGGCGGCCAAGAATTACCCGGTGTTGGTTCCGAGTGGAATTGATGAGGATGCGGCGGTGGTCCACCAGATGCATCATGACTATGAGGATCCAGATTATTTGCGGCATCGTACTGCGTATTTTCCAACCTTGTAATTAATCGTTCGTCCTCATCCCCGAATTCACCGCCCATTAAAGAAGGTTCACCCACGACCATCACATCCTACATGAAAATAAAAAAAACATTTAGTCAATCTTTAGCCTGCTTTTTGACGACGTTGCACGATCGACGATGTCCTGCTTCATTGAGAAAACGAATTCGAAAAATTTACCTGCGATGCTAGAGAAAAATTTGGCCCTGGTGAACGTTTCTTGCTGGGCGCAGGAGGTGCATTGTTGCCCGGTCCGGATGTACTGCCCTTCCGCTTTCTTCTTTTACTAGCCGGCCGTTGAGACTCTGGAAAAGAAGGAAATCGTCGTGAGCACGACGCTGCGTGCATTCGTTGGCCATGTTCGGCCACGTGTGTATCTACACACTGATAAACTTAAGAGCACTACCCAGCTGTGGACCTTTCTCATCATCAAAGGTCTCTGACACGCACAAGCACAAGCATGCATTGATAGACAAACACATAGATATGTGTCAGGTTTATTTCTATCTTTCTCCCACGAGCTACTTTGCACTCTCAAGCGATGTTTACAGAGAAACACGTTTGGCAATATATTATTTGGTGTTATATACACTTGGTTCCACGGTTTTATCAAGTTTAAATGATATCGGATAGATATATGAGCTATATATACAAAATCGCAAGTGAAATGGGAAACGCGGTGCACGCACAAGCACGATAAAGACGGGCGATAAGCTGATGCTAAAAGCCATGTCTCGCAAATAATAGAAGCGAATCAATGCTATCAATTAATGTAATATATACAATTAAAAGGAAATTGAGAATTCAGTCATAGTAATACTTTTAAATAGTAATCCTTAAATGTAACTTCATAAAATGGCTTAAATGTTTGAATTAAAATTCGATTGATGAAGCAAGCGACACAAGACTATTAATAGAAAAGTCCATCTAATTGCTAGAAGATTTCGAATAAAATCATCAAGTTTCACGCTCGATAAGAAAAAACCGATGGAACCAAGAATCTCGATAAAGCGGTAAAGAAAATCAACAACGAACAGTGCGTCGTTCCGCGGATAGCAAAAACCGATTTCACGTCTATTAGGATCGAATGGCCGTTCGGCTTCACTGGCTGGTGCTTCTCATGTAAAGCAACTGTTCGTCTACCTCTCTTACCCGGCGGGGCAACTATCCTCTGCCATTTCTGGAACAAGGTCGTCTTCAAACAATCACGAGGTGACAACGCATACGCCTTGTGCCTCGACATCAGTTCCTGCATTGGCTCCAGAATCACGCATAACTGTAAAAGAATCGTCGTATAGTTTCTAATGAAAAGTTATTAAGTCAAGTTACAAGTTCAGTTTCGATAGCGTTCAAAATCTCTTTTAATCATCCGGAATTGACGCCAACATAGTTACTGATTCAACACTGTGTCTCTAAAATTTATAATAATTTAAACAATATAAGTAAAAATGAACGAGAAATGTTCAATACAAATTAGAGAAGAGAGCCATATTCAGTCAAGGCAAATCTTAGTGCTAATAATACTTTATTCAATTTATTAATTAAAAGGAACTAATTTCGACGAACCAAAATGATGTAACTAGTATAAAAAAAGAATGAATTTCTAAGTCTATTTCAATAAAAATAATGCAAACTTGCAAATAACATAAAGAATGAATTATTTAACATTTTTGACAAAGATTTATAATTGAGTGGGTCCTCTTTCCTCTAACAGACCTTGAAGACCGTGAATGTACGAACAAATATTGTATATAACAAAAAATTTAGATATTTCCTAGAAGTTTCTATAACATTCTAATAAATATTTAATGCAAATTAAACAAAACAACTTCTTTGAAAGCTCATAGAAAATATATAAGTTTTTTTTATTTCCGCTGATTCGTTTTGTATATATTTTCGGGAACTATATTTGCGTTCTATACATTTTCTATACAGTGAATAATATCGTTACATCACGTTACGCGGCAAGTATAAAAGGTGAGTAACATAACTAATCACTTTAAGGAACAACTGGAGTTCTGCGCGACGACGATATATTCATCTATCCATAAATCAACTGAAGCCCATTTTCATCGTCGGCGAGTTTTCACCCGTGTGGAGAAATTATTCGAGACGGTTCCTACGCGTTTCCGAACATCGTATACTAGTTCAACAATGGGCGAGGACTTTCCCGACGTAACAATCGACGGGCTTTTCAACTGACTCGAGACGATACACACGGAATGCACGTCCCCCTCCCTCCCGGTGAAAGCGCTTCCGAGCGCGGAAAGAAGGTGGTTCGTAACCCGGATAGCCGGAGATACTTTCGAGAAGGCAGGAATATGCCGTGTTCCGATCTAACCGCACCGACACATCTTCCTGCAATATAATTTTCTGACTAAGTACTATGTCCGCGGTCGATACTTTTTTCCGTTATAAAGCAATACACAACATAATATCCCTTCCTCATGTTTTGGCACGTACAATGATTCGCACACATTTATCTAAATGAGCGTGTAATTATGCATAATGTATTTCTTCTTTTTACTCCAAATTTGTGGTCTAAACGTTTGTTCTAGAAGTCTTTGCGTTCATTTATATTATACTAAACTTAATAATAAAAAAAAAAAAACATAATTTAGATACCTTTTATCTATTTTGAGCTCAATTGCTTTGCTAATGATTTTTATTGTCAAAAAAGTTTAACCCGGAATACTCAGCTGTATCTGTATTTTGTAATTCTTAATAGTGTCGATATCATTATATTGTCATGTATTATATGTAATAAATAAAACTGTGCAATGGCAGTATAACTAAAAATGTAAATTGTAGTAGATTAAAAGTTACAAAATACAGGCATTGGGATGATTTTACACTCTGTAGCAAGAAAATAAAGTTTAGTAATTCAATTTTTTGTACTGATTAGGAATTTATATTTACTTTTTTCGTTTCTTCTTACTTTTTTCAGAAATAAAAGTAAATATATAATGTACAATAAACTCAAATACTAATACATTGTAAAATAATCAAAATACACAATATACAGTTAATAATAGTGACTTAATTGGAGTAAAATCATAGGTGACCGTGAAAAGAATTAAATGATTATTCCCGGGTTAATAAGACAAGAAAATTTCAATTCAATTAAAATGCGGTCAATCTGGCGCTGATGCATCAACGTAAAATTAAGACAGCGCATGCAGTACGGAAGATACGTACTCTAAGATAGTTGAGAGTGAAGTTGGACATGCCCTGCCTAGTGATGTTTTTGCTAATCTGCTCAAGCATTGTCGGGTCCTGCTGCATACTGACAACGCTCCTTGGAACCAGTTCTCGATGCGTCCTCACCGACATATGCCACGACTTTATCCTCATGAGATCGTCGAAGGTGAACTCCAATATTAACCTACCCTCCGTTAACACCTAAAATAAGATTTCGGATGACAATATTCGCTTCGGCTATTTCGAGGGCGCTTGATTTTGAGGGTCCTGAAGAGAGTTCGCAGGACTTAAAGCTTCCTGCTAGGTTTTACAGAAATTACGGAGATCCAATTAAACTTTAATCCTTCCTATCTTTATGATATCTCTCTTTTTTTTGTTTCAAGAAAAGAACAATTGACTTTTCTAATTGTGCCAACTCAAAATACTAGCACTCAGCAGTTTTTATGGTAACTAAAAATATATATTATATAAATTTTTCATTTGTATATTGTATCATAACTATTTTTTTTTATCTCAATCATTTTATTTCAATTGTAATTATTTTTCTATCATTAATGTAATTGTTTTTAATTCAACAATTAAGTACATAAATATTGATAATCTGAAACGTATAGTTTTACTACTGCAATAAATTTTGCAAAATATTCGTACCTTAGTATACATCGGTTTTCCATATTGCGTGACCATTGTGCACTGATCACAGTCCAGCGTTATGGTGGTATTGTGAAACGATTCCTTCTGATTCCTCAAAGTATAGTAAAGTTCCGTCACTCCACCATCAAATATCGAACGGAAGTACCTGGGTATTAACGTCCTTCCTATCGCTGAAAGGATAAGATGGAAACGATTAGAAACAAATACAACGAACACGTTGCGAGGAAAGCAAAGCGACGATTAAGATCGACAGCTATCTTAAATCGGTCGATGTTTGCTCTATGTTGGGCACAATATTCTCCGCGATAACATGCACCTCTGCAAAATTGTTATCTTCGCGAATAAAGCTAAATAAAGCAAACTGTCACATTTAAATTTCAATGTTTAATTCTACAACAAACTGTCGCGTTTAATTTTCAAAAATGTTTAATTTTATACACACTGTCACGAAGAATGAATAAAATTTTATTAAGAAGCGAGATAAATATAAACCGAAACGTAACGTTGGCGGACGAACAAACAAATGAAAAATATCTTCTTTTTTTTTTCTGTTTAATTGCAAAACGCATTTTGCATCACCGGACTCGTTCGGTCGTTCCAGCGCATCTTATTGCGCAGATGCCCTGTCATTTATACTCGGATGACGACGACATGCATCCACACGACATGTAATCACATTGTCGTCGTATATTTTCGAGACGGTGGTGCGGAACAGACATTAAAATCCACCGACTGCAAGATTGCCGCGCGGTGGCACGTCATTATTTAGAACAGAGGTGGCACCGCACGAGCTTGGCAGCGATTAAGTATCAGTGACAATGTGTGAACTGTGATATCGCAAAGATGTAAGGAATTATCTCGCGGAAATTATCTGGAGAAAATCGATCACATTAAACTCAGAAGCGTATAGATGTCATAGAAACTTCACTCCACAGTTTATCATTTTGCTTCTAAAAAAAAAAAACATATTTACTTGCAATTCATTTCCTTTTCATTTTGCAATTTCTTTTCCTTTCTTATAAAAATAAAGGTACTTCGCTCGTGTATTATTCACACACACAGAAAGAATGATTTTGCTGAAATATCTAAAAATTTAATTAAATACGGATCTGGAAGTAATTTTGTTGGATCATCAAAACAATTACTTGTAATGAGCAATGCTGAACAAATTTTGATATTCTAGCAAGTTTAAGCGTCCTATATAATTATTTTGATAGTTCAACACTGTATAAAGTGTGTCTAAAAATTTATAACCAGGTACTGATCTGATGAAAACAATTTGATGAACTATCAAAATTGTTTTCAGATCAGTAATAATAACTAAATTTTTAGATACTTGAAAAAACGTCACGTTCTTTCGTGCATTATTTGTAGTGACAGATTCTTGGGTTAGATATGATTATGATTTACGAGCCGAAAGAAACCAACTTCTTTCTCATTAATTAAAAATAAAATTCCGTACAATAATATTGGCAAGAAGTAAAATGTAATAGATTAGTAATGTATTAGGTTCAGTCTAATTTTATTACGTATAACACATTTTTAAACGTTTCTTTCCGAATTTGCACTGATTGCACGAAAGGTAAATTAGAATCAAATAATAAGTGGTACTCACAATATCTTTTCGGTCCATCTTCCAAGCAGACATGGAGGGTGAGGGTGGCGTCTTCTTCGAAGAACTCGTTTGCAAAGGACTCCCACCAGATGTTGTCACTTTCCTGAATATAATAAACAGAAAAAGGAATAGTTTGAATACTATATATAAGGATTTTGCGAATTTTATCTTCGGCGTGCATATTTTGATGTCATTGTATTGATTATTGTCGCATCAATTTCTTTCACAAGTTACGAATTGGAAACGTTAATGGATAACGAACAAATGATCAAGAATTAGGCAAAGAATGGAGATCTCAAAGTGCGACAAAATGAAAAGGAGAGAAGAGAAGGTACTTTCTCCCCTTCAGAGAATCGTATAGAAAATGTAAAGATATGAGAGAGAGAGAGAGAGAGAGAGAGAGAACGAGAGCTTGTACCTCAACGCTGAATAACGCATGACTGTCTGGCTTGAAATTATAGCATTCCACCCCCTCCCAGTCGTAGGAACTACCCCTTGGCTCTGTTCGCCACGCTTTCATTCAATTATGCATCCACCACTATCTCCCTTCGTCTCCCTGCCTGGTCCACCTACACCTAAACCCCGCAGGCACTCCTCTTGTTATTATTTTCCCGCGTGTGGTCTCTCGTCGGCTTTTCTTACACGCGAAAAACCGCCGTCATCAGTCGCTTTTGTAACGACCGCGATTTTGGAAAAGGCTGCGGGCATCATGAATTGCTACTCCGTTATTGGCTGAGATTGTTCGTTCGATAAATCTTGAATCCGTATCAAACTACGCATTGGAAATTGAGAATTACGAATTGAAGATTAGAATTCAACCAATTAAAATGAAACGGATTAAAAATAAAAGTATCTGATTGATTAAATTTTAATCTTAAATTCATAATTCTCAATTTCCGATTTCTGCGCAGTCTGACAGATTTTAAAAAAACGAAGCGACTCAATCTAAAACAGATGTGCATTATGTGTGATAGGATTTGTACAAAATAATATTGTTTATCTCACGTCGCCTGAAAAAGATTCTTCCACATATACTGGCTTTGTCAGTTTATATATTATGTGTGTGTGTGTGTGTGTGTGTGTGTGTGTGTGTGTGTGTGTATATAACATGTCTCGATGGACGAATTCAAAAGACGAATTCGAGCAATTCAAATTTGAATTCCTATTTTCTCATAATAAGTTATTTACAGGTTTTTATGGATGATAGTTATTATTAAATCAATGATCACTTAATTTAATTATGAGATTATTATTTCAGATCGTAATTGTATTCCAAGTTCAACAAACTGAATTGTCATACAGTTTATAGAACTAATTTAAGTTAATTGTACTTATATATTCACATATAAATATTCCTAAGCGCCAAGATTCACTTTGGCCAAATGTGACACATTCTTCTCCCTATTTGTGTTTAAACACATCTCGAGTTTATTTCACTTAATATTATTTGTATAAAATAACAATTTCATATTCAAATAAATTCTTTACAGCGTTTAAAGATGTTCATTAACATCAATATTATTAAATTGCTTATCAATTTAATTTCTGATTATAGCGTACTCAAATTTTAGTATAGAACTGCGTTTCAAGGCCGACAAATAATCGGCACGCAGTTTGCATAAACTGAGAATTATAAAATTCAAAAAAATATTATTAGATTTCAAGATCCGCTTTGACCAAATAAGGCTTTCTTATTATATTGTGTTTCTTCTTGTATTTGTCATAAAATATTATCCACAATTGTACATAGTTAAATAAAACTCTTATGTTAGTAAAACGACGGTATTCCTCCAATAGTGCATATCCTTTAACGTCGAAAATCCTTTAACGTTGTAAAATGATTTTCATTTCCAAAGTGCAATAAGGAGAGACAAAAAGTAAATAATTAATAAACGTTTCATTATTTCCAGTAACATATTACTTTGTAATTATTTTGTGTAGAATTACATTTCTCTAATTTTTTTCTATCACTGCGCTAATATCTATATCCCGTCGATAAAACTTAAGAATTAATTTACTTTAGTAATTCTAGAAGCAGAATTGATAATTAAATGAAATAGGTACACATAAAAAAAATATAAAAAGTATCGAAAAAGCAGTACTAAGAAAATCTTCTGAAATAAAATATCTAATGACATTACTATACGTCCCAAAATATCAATCCACGCTACGACGTGAATTGTTTTCTAAGCACGTTTACTTACACGCTTATTGTCACAACAATTACTGTATTTGCCGTTTTAATTTATTATCCACTTCTACTATCGCTTGTCAATGCAGCAGCTTTTAATTTTACATAAACACGACAGAATCTCGTCTTATGGTCTCAAGTTAAAGGAGAACGATCAAATAGGACTAATTGTAAGTAGTTTTTAGATCGTAGAAAGCGTATCATCTGTTTTTTTTTAAATCGAAATATCAAACAGTTGAAAATAAATAAGATGCAAATCGAAAATGAGATATCGTCCGCAAAGCTGGGACAAGTGCGCCACTCATGTCAAATCCGCATAGACAATCGGTTTCCGGGGCGGGCACCGTCGACACTGCATTCGCGAAGATTTATTTCGGACGTAAGCTACGCCGTGCCAAATCAAGCAAACTGTTACCACTCCCGCGCAAATTGATATTTCTGGCAAGCGCGATTCGGCCCGGACGGAGGGAGGCCGAGATAGAATAGAACGGAAAAGTCGGCGAAACAGTGACGCGATAAGCGTGGCGGAACGAGCAAGAAGACGTTGCTCGACAAATAGACGATATTCAATAATGTGCGGAAGCAGCTAGGAAAGAAAAATGCCTTCTGGGGGCTGTTCTTACAAACCGCAGCTCGATCGCATCGCAACTGGTCTATACTATATGTTTCACGAAATCATTCTAGCGACACGATGAGATCAGCATTTGCGCACGCGATATGAATTCTGTCATATGTCTAATGTGAATGACATGCGCTTCGATACACGTGTAATATGTGTAATCTGTCCCGGTGCAATATATGCAATATGCGTTTACAAAAGGTGGCAGAAGTGCAATTTTCATATTACGTCGGATAAATCTTGCAATTAGAAAATTTCTGTTAGATTTGACACGTTTCCTAAACAGTCCATTAAAATTTTTGTGTTAATTTAACAGATGAATAAGTTAGAAAGTAACACAGATATTATATTATGTAAAGAATTAATGAAAAAGAGGTAATAATTACACAATTTATAAGCAATCATATTTCTTCATTAGAATTAACTTATAATATGTTAAATTGACACATGTTATATTCACTTATCTTAGAATTTATGTTTAAAAAAATTATTTTTGTGCAATTTGTTCATTTATATATGAATAGTTTTATTTTAACACTAAAAAATAATAAATATTAATTTAATAACAACAAAATATTCAAATAATAATTATGTTAAATTAATACATACAGATATATTAAAAATTTAATACAGAATTTTAATAAGAACTTGAGTGAAAATCGTTTCTCATTTAAATACAAAATGTTTTTTACTGTGTCGATTTTGGTTCTTGGTCAAATCTTCTAATATTTTGAGAAATTGTAGTTCCAGGTGTCCTGATTAAAAGTGTCAATGGGCGCGATCTCCTAAAATTAAATTTTCAAGATATATTATAACTGTTCAAACTTGGTCAATTCTATTATTTCGGATATGGGCGATATAAACAATCTCGATCCCACATCTTACAGCAGAAAAAAATATCTAGATGAACCTTATAACATGCGAAATAAGGCTGTCATAATTGCATTTCGCTTTGCGATCTCAATTGTGATTAAAAATGATAAGTAAAATAATGTAAGTATTAATAAGTATTATCATCAATAGAGCCCGGATTTTTCCAATGATCATTGTACCGATTCGAGTAACAGTAGCACGTTTCACACGATTCTTCCCACTGCTATTTAACTTGGGTAATGTTAAAAGTCGAAAAATGTACGCACACTAACTTTATTCATATGACATTACTCATTGTTTATTTTTAGCCGCAATTGAGATTGCGAAGCGAAATGCAACTATGACAGCCTTATTTCGCATGTTATAAGGTTCATCTAAGTATTTTTTTTAAGTCTGATTAAGATTGTTTACATCGTTCAATATCCGAAATAACAATTAACCAAGTTTGAACAGTTATATCTCGAAAACTGTTAATTTTAGAAAATATGAGAAGATTTGACTGAGAAAATAAAAATCCATAAAAAACGTGCGGAGTCCTTTACATTTGAATATATTTTTTGCTAAAATTCTTTGTTTTAAGATGTTTATTAATACTACTATTACTCTCCAATCCAATAATCAGTATATTCCTGTGCATTTTCTTCGGTTATGTAAAAAATTATATAACAAGCCTTTTTTACAATCTTGCGTAATTTTAAGTTATATAATCACATTCCTCAAATTTTGACTTTCGAAATTAAAAAAAGATTGTTCAATTACGTTAACTTTAAGCAATGATACATTAATTTAAAGTATACTGAATCCACGAATACCAGTTAAAGAAATTTCGAAGCAAATACCGATTAAGGTTAAATTGACAATCAATGTAACTTGGTACTATTTAACATAACTTCAGTTTATGATTGAGTTTCAAGTTCAATAAACCGAATCGGCATACGGATTATAGAATTGAAAAATGTATTTGAAAATTTATGAATATTATTAAACATCAAGCTCCGCTTCAATCGAACATAAAATTCCTTCTTTTATTTTTGATATTCACTTATCGGTTTAATTATTCATTTATTATTACTTTAAAAATTTTTAGTTGTATATATTTGTGACATTCGCATTCACAAATGAATACACTAACGCGAATATGTTCCCAATAATGCATATGGTAATTACTTCAGTCGTGAAGAGAGAGACTCTGTGAACGTAAAATGACAAACTTCGCAGACGCATTTCATAATCAGTGTTTTCTTGTTCGCACTAAACTTGTCAACGAATGAGAATCGAATTTACCTCGAATTAACTTCAAGCTTGTCGCGAATGAAAAATCGAGAAAGTTTTACGAGTCATATAATTAATGCCTCTCGGTTAGCTTCACGATTCTCAAAACTGTCGAATCTCGCGAAAGTTTAGCGTTTGTCATACATAT